ATACATTATCATATGCATTAAAAGATATGGTTGAAGCTACAACTGATTTAGCGAAAAATGCTCGACGTATTAAACATATTGATACACGAACATTAATACGAGCGGAACGAGAAGAAAAAATTCCACAACAACAGACAGCCTAATTAACAACAAAAATTTTTTCATAAAAATTATTTTTGTCATTTTTCTTTTCTTTTCGAGTTACAAATTTGTTTTTTATATTTATAGGCTATAACATAATTATAGGCCTCTCGTATGTAATACATATAAAAACCTTTATGTGATTTCAGCAACGAACAATATTGATCTGTTTTATTGATATGTGTATGTGAGACTATTCAAGTACTTTCTAATGCCGTTTATCTCTCTCTCTTTTGCATTATATTTTTTCTTCTTTTAAAATCTGTTACATCTTTCAACTTTAACATTTCATTGTATATCAAATTTTCGACCGCTCGTTGCATCCATCGTATGCTTTTTTTTGTTTGCTTGAGGATCCTTAAGCAAGGTCGAGATTATTCATGGCTTCTTATCCATATTACGGCGTGCAGAGTCTGCTTGTAGTTGCTAGTGAAGGTCAGTGAACTGAATAAATGTAGTTGTTGCTATCCCGACATTTGCACAGAGTTTTTAGAGAATTGAATATTTCAACTCAAAAAATAACATATGATCCCATGTCGCTAAAACCGTAATAAAACTGACGGTTAACCGCGGTTCTTTGCCTTGATTTATTTTTTACTTTTTACTAGATGAATATTTTTTAATTCTTACAAAATTGTTAGATTTGAGTCTAGATCGCGCTCCTTTATATTTGTAAAAGCACTGAAGCCACTGGTGCTAGCCACATCGGCTAATTTTGCTTAGTTTTCGAGTTTGAATATTTCATTAAAGATGTCGCTAGAAAAATAACTATAATTTAGAAGATTAACCAATAGAAAAATTTGTAGTGTCATCTAAAATACAGTTGAATGAATTGTCCCGTTAGTCAAATAACAAAAGATATTCTGTATATTTTGTTTCGTCCATTTCTAATAGAAACCACATTTTATTTTTATGTGTAGTTGAATCATATACAGAAGGGTGTGGGTGGATGTGGATGTGGATGTGAGTCTTCTCTGAATGAACAGTCACACCCACACCCACACCCAATCATTCTTCACATTGTTTTTCATGTGTCTTTTAGTTCAAAAGTGTAAGCTAAACTTTAAAAAGACGGAAACAAATCCGGTTGATTACAGTGAAGGTCGTCTACGATCTATTGCTGTTGGGGATTTCAATAGCGATACATGGCTAGATATTGTCGTCGCAAATTCTGAGGCTAACAACATAGAAATATATTTTGGAGATGATAGAGGGATTTTTGAACATAAGGCGACACATTCAACTGGCATTGGTTCACAACCATATTCGGTCGCAGTTGCTGATATCAACAATGATCATCGACTAGATATCGCCGTGGCAAATTTCGGCATCAACAGTATCAAAATATTTTTTGGTCTAGGAAATGGATCTTTCGTCACTCAAACATCGATTTCCACTGAGGGTGTGGGTGTGGATGTGGGTATGATTCGCTTATCTTCCACACCCGCACCCACCCACACCATCTCACACCCACACTCCCACCCCACACCCATTCGATAGAACTCGTTGAGCTCTATCTTGGTCCACAGAGTTTGAGCTTTGGTCCCAACTGTGAGCGAATCCAGTTATGGAATGCTCGAACCCAGGCCCGAGATATCCTCCGTGCTGCTTAGTTAGTTTATCATCATCATTAATAATAAAATCATCTAAAAAAGCTGTTAGCGCAATCCCTTGCGGGATTAAAAATGTGAAACACGATGGACCTAATGTTACTAATTAAATGGACATCGTTTTGTTCCATTTCTTCACGATATATTTGTAGCTTACCGCTTATTTGATGCTTCAAAACTACACTCTCTGTCGCGGTCTGTGATGGTTTCTAGGGATTCTCTGTCGCGGTTGGTGATCGTCTCCGGAGTTCTCTGCCACGGCCTGTGATGGTTTCTGGAGTTCTCTGTCACGGTCTGTGATGGGTCTGGAGGTTCTCTGTCACGGTCTCTGATGGTTACTGGAGGTTCTCTGTCACGGTCTCTGATGGTTACTGGAGTTCTCTGTCACGGTCTGTGATGGTTTCTGGAGTTGTCTGTCACGGTCTATAATGGGTTCGGAGGTTCTCTATCACGATCTGTGATGGTTTCTGGAGTTCTCTGTCACGGTCTGTGATGGGTCCGAAGGTTCTCTGTCACGGT